CCACCGATCCAGCCATCCGATAACATATTACACATTTCCAGAGTTTGACACACACACACACACTCAACACTCTAGAGTAGTTTATGACTACATTCAGGCATTCGATGCACACCTACCAGTGATATTCTCCCATTCCACAGTGTCCCAGTACATAAAGATAACGTAACAAATGCACTACTTGTATGTATGTAAAATTTACAATACAGTTCACAACCCTGTATACATAAATACAGTACTTAAATAATGAAAATATCACAATAGAAGTAAATTATAGTACAAAAGAATATTAAATAATGATTGTACAGTTCATTACAGTACTAAGGTAAGGTAGATTTAGGACTAGAAATGTTTGACATTATGCCCTACCACGTATGTCCGGCAATTTTCAAAGGTTCGACTTACATCATTTTGACTTACACCGGTGGTCGAACTGCTTTGTCGTAAGTCGTATGGTAGGTTGTATTTGTCATATATCCACTGACCTTGTTGACCTAACAGAAAATAGGTATTGCGCATTAGCTGACGTTCTAGAGTTGCACCTTGGAAGATGGACGCAAAGAAGTCTCTCTGGAATAAGGCACCTGTTTTATTTGGCATTCTAGGATTTTTTGGGTAACTAACTCTTCACTAGTAAAACTCGAGTCTTTTTTTTTCTTCTTCTTTTGCTTAAAAGTTTGGTTTTACATTTTTTGGTCAACTCTTGCATGCTGCCAAAGGCCAGGCATCTCTGGTGACTACACAAATTTCATGGTGTCCTCAGAAGTTCAAAATCTGCATCAAAATGTAGGATGAAGATTACAAATAAACTTGCTTTAGGGAGGCAGCAATGATTTATTGATAACTGAAAACCTCGAATCCAATGACCATGGAAAATTAAACATAATGCCTTTTGGAAGTTAATCATAATGTTTACTGTAACATGCATTTCTATGCAAACAAATTTACAGTCACAAAAATGTAGTATGTAGAATGAATTGAATACGGCAGGACAGATGGGGGAAGCCCAATCTGTTGACTACTATACTGTCCGCAAACAAAATAGTTATCCTGTCCTGGTGTAAGGTCTTTATAATAATAACAACTAAGGATTCGCAAAAATGCATGAAAATAAATGATGGCATAAACTCTCGGAACAATCCTACAGATGCACAATATCACTATTACACAAATTTGGTTTTTTGACTAGGTATTCACTTTTTTCTTAATTACAATATTATTAAATTCATTCATTCATAGTATTTCATTATCCAGTATTGATGCATGCATGCAGGGTATTATAATGAAACATGAACATGACTCTCACATTGCCAAATATACAAAATACATATCACACTCCAAAATTATAAATCACCTTTCATTACAATTACTTGTGAGCAGAATTATAACTTTACGACTAATAAAAGAATCTTACAATATGCATGTGTTTACACGAGTATATATATATTTTGTAACATGCCAACCAAATTTTCTTGTGGCATGATCTGTATATCAAAGATCCAATGCTTAACCATATTATACAAAGTCAACTGTTTGGTACATCTAAAGCACAAAACCTTCAGTGGAAATTTCAATACAAGTCCCCTGGAACTGACAATTTTAATTTAACAGCATGGAAAGCACTTCATTTTAATATGTCACATACAAATGAAACTTAAAAATCCTTGTTTATTTTAGAATACAACCTCTCCTCACTTAGCGACGTACTCATTTACCGATGCCTCGGACTTACGATGGGCTCTCTGACCAGTATTTATACAGTACCTAAATAATGAATATTAGAGCTGATTTCCTCTATTCTGGTTACATTAGACCAGTGTTTAACATGGTAGTTACGTTCCTGAAAACTCCATCTTAGTTAAAACCGTGTCAGACAAACTGGAGAACTTATAGGAAAAATAGGGTTATGTTCCTGGGAGCCCCCAAAATGCAAAACAACTTATTTTTAGACCAACAGATCTTACAAAAATAAAAGTGAATACATAATTGTAGTTCATTGTCATAAAATATCTGGCATAAGACAACAAATGCCATAGAAAACACTAGCATTAGCATATACCTTAAATTGTGGGTAATGGTGATTGATGGATGATTAGTGAAGATGGCACATGCATGTGTGCGGGGCCCTACTGGGCTGAGGTGGATGGCTGTCAGCAGAAGTGGATGGTAGAAGTTCTGGTACTAAAGTCAATGGTTGTATTGGAGTGTGCATAAATTCTGTAACGGATCTCTGGGCTCTTTTACCCAGCAGTAAGCATTATACAGCTCATGTAAGGCATCATCCCGCAGTTTAGACCCAGGTTCTAAGCACATCACAAGCACATCAGTCAAGTCGAGATCAGTCAGTCAAGGAAGTCAGTCAGTCCTCAGTAGGCAATCAGTCAAGTCAGTAAGTCAGTCAAGTAAGCCAGTCAGTCAGTCAAGTAACACATGGGCTATCTCTTATCTAATATCTCTATTTTCTTCATTAATGCTAAGACTTGAATGCTTATACCTTTTCTTGCTACTTTCAGCAATACTGGTATGCCTATTGGGTGCCATGATTGCTTGGCAGATACAAGATATGGTAATTAAAAGATCAAAACATATTCCACAAACACAGCTCCTAGTTAGCATTCGTACTGGACACATTCACGAAGGGTGGCTGGTGTGTTGGGGGTGTTAGGGGATGGCAGGAGGTCTCCCCTGCTGACCCACAACAAGGAGGGAGCTTGAGCTGGGGAAATTTCTTCTGTACCCACAACTGGAACCTTGTTAAGCTAATTTTACGAAGTGTTATACAAAAGTATGTCGCAATTCTTCAATAATGCTATAACCAAAACATGCCAAACAAAACCGAGTTAAAAGACAGTCTACTGCATTTCAATATACAGTGGACCCCCGGTTAACGATATTTAAATCCTGCAAGCACAAGGATATTGTTTATGCGCAATAATCGTTATGCGAATGAATTTTCCCCATAAGAAATAATGGAAATAAAATTAATCCGTGCAAGACGCCCAAAAGTATGAAAAAAATTTTTTTTTACCACATGAAATGTTAATTATAATACACACAAACTGAAAAAGGCATGCACAATTAAATGACACTTACTTTTATTGAAGATCTGGTGATGATTGATGGGATGGGGGAGGGAGAGACATTATCTTCTTACTGTTTAGAAGGGGAATCCCTTCCATTAGGACTTGAGTAGTAAGTCCTATTTCTGGGTTACTTCCCTTCTATTTTAAATGCCACTAGGGCCACTTCAATCACTGACTTCTTTCGCACAAGTATATCTGTCCATAGTAGCCCCCCCCCCCCCTGAACCTCTCTTTCCTTTATGATTTGCCAAAAGTGATTCACCAACATTGTCAGTGTCATAACACCAACACGGCTTGCAATAGCTGTGTGAGGGTGATTTCATCCATGAAGGTTTCACTTCAAAGCCACTTAGCACAGATTTACCTTTATCTTTGTAGTAGGCAACTTCTTCAATTTCTCTCTCCACACTCCTCTGAACACAGTTTCCCCCCAGGTCTGGCCTCTTGCTACTGGAAGTTGATCTATCAGCTCATCAGAGGTTAGTTTCTATCATTGTCCTCCTCCACCAACTCTTCACATCCTCCCCCCTAACCTCCACCCAAGGACTTTCCCAATGCGAACAATGATTCCTCAACTGGCCAGGATCTCCGGGTTAGCCTCAACCCTTCAAAATCCCTTTTGTCTACACCATTCTGGCACATTTTCTTCAGCAGAACAGTTCAAGGTCCTCTAAGTCACTTCCGTCCCAGGCCTACCTATAAGGTTTAACACACACAGAGGCTATTAAAGTGATCTCACCAAAAACTCTCTAGAGTCACAGTTGAGCTTATCTGAGGTCATTACAAAGCACCTTTCAAACAGAGCTTTTGTGTACGTTTCTTGAAGTTGAAATAGCCCTGCTGTCCATGGGCTGCAGAGAGGAGTGGTATTAGGAGGCAAAACCTTCACCTAAAGAAGCTCATGTCCCCATAAAGTCGCACTGCCACTCCTGTAGGATGACCAGGGGCAATTGTCACACCACCAGAGGCACTTAATTCCTAATTTCTTTTCAGGAGTAATTTTTCACATTGGGGGCAAATGCATGGTGGTAACCAGTTATAGAAAAAAATTCCCTAGTGAACCATGCCTTACTGTTTGCCTCCACAGCACACACACAATTAGCCTTGAGGACATTCTTTTGCCTGAACGCTCTGGAGTTCAGAGTGATACACTAATAAAGGCGTCACTTTGCAATCACCAGTAAGGCATTGGCACACATCCCACAAAGTAAGCCTGTCAGCATAGGCTTATGTCCAGGCGAGTGCCTTTTCCTTCCTGAGAAAATGTAGGTCCTGCTTGGCATTTTCTTTCCAGAACATGCCTGTTTCATCCAATTAAACACTTGTTCAGGTTCAGTCCTTCATTTCTATGTAACTCCTGAATTCCCTGCACATATTTTTCAGTCCCCGCTTTGTGGACCCCCCCCCCCCCCCCGAACTGGCAGTCCTCCACCAGGCTTAATCACACTATGGATGCCACTAACGCATCTTAAATCTCTCCACCCAACCTTGCTGGCCTTAAATACACTCACATCATCACTAGTAGCAGGCATTTTTTTTAATTAATCTCATGCAACTTCCTAGCCTTTTCACCTATGATCGCTGAGAGATGCTATCTCTCTGCTAGCTGTTCTTTTCCATTTAATCCACACAATAAGAGTCTCTCAACACTTCCATCACTTGCGTCTTTGTTTCGAAACACAGTTGAACCTTTGGCACGACAGCTTCCTTGATTGTCTTCTGGTGCTCACAATATAGCGTTGGTTGATTGGGGTTTCTTGTACCGGCATGACTAGGTCCGGCTATACGCACTCCACTTCATACTTTATCAATTATCTCTTTCTTCATTTCTATAGTAATTCTCCCTTTGAGGGTGTAGGGTTGGCAACTAAAGCTTTCCTTGGGCCCATGTCACATTATTTTCCAGAAACAGCAACCGAAAATACTGTAATAATACGAAATATTCCGAGTGTATGCTTGGATGTTACCGCGGAGGCTGGCTGGTAAACAATGGGACGGCTGGCACATGTGAGGCTGGCTGAGGGCACATTGGACGCGTCTCGGACGAAAATCGGTAAGCGGGTTTTTAATCGGTATGCGCGGCAAAAATTTTGCGATAAAAGTAATCGGTATGCGGAAAAATCGCTATGTGATGCCATCGTTATGCGGGGGTCCACTGTACAGTACACTACTGTATAAACATTTAAAAATATACCAGAAATGTTATAAATGGTGCAAAGGTGACATTAAAACAATATAAAAGATGATTGACACAAACCCACTACTATTACAGTATGGTCACTTAGCTACAAATTTGTTTAATGACGTGACCTTAGGAACGGAAGTCTGTCGTTAAGTGAGGAGAGGCTGTATAGTTAAAAAAAAAAAATTGAGAGACTCAAAAAAAAAAAAAAAATAACACTTTAAAAGACATGTCAGGGGAAGAAGGAAAGAAGGGGTCAGGGTTTAGGAAAAAATATACTTTCACTACAATTAATAAATAGCAAACGTAACTGTCATACGTCATTATCTACATACAAATTTATTTTCAAGGGAATAAAATCGCTTCTCAATTTTTTTTTTACAGTACAGTGTATAAATATACTGTACAACATAAAAAAATTCTTAATCTGTACTGAATCGTACAATGAAAAGCTAGTTGTTATATCTATTTTCTTTATGAGGAAAATTTAAACAAACTACACTAAACAATAGATATACAGTATTGCAAATTCCTTGTCATTAACATAACATCACTAAGCTACAATATTCTGTGATGGGATTATTTCACTTCATACTCAATAATAAATTTAGTACTGCATCATGAGATTACCTATATTTATTTTATTTGTACAATGCCCCATTTTATTGTTGCAGCCAAAAAGCTGCATAGAAAAACAATAACCTATGATATAATACATACATAATATCAAAATCTAAACACCATCTATTTTGGCTTATTTGAAGAGCTAAAATGTAAAAAATGTTAGCTTATGATTGAACAGAGAGGAACAAATCCATTAGTAGGAGTAGAGTATTTACAAATACTTTAAAAGAGCTGGGCTTCTCATCGTTTTGTGTATTTATCAATATATTCCCTAACTTTCCGTCTAAAAGATTCCTTGTCTCGTTGATAATGCTCAGCAGCTTCAATGTTCAGAGGGTCATCAAAGTTCAACAGGTCCTGAATGAAAATAAATACAATATGTAATTATAATTAATACCATCTAGACTTGCAGGATACTGCTGAATGTGTTTATCTATTATTTCCCTCTATAATAAAATCAGGGTAATTCAGAAGGGGGAAAACTATCTTGTCCAACCCAGAGGTAAGTTGACGACTGTATCCAGTCACTGCTGGTGAGACACCAACAATGTAGTGATCCAGTTACATTTGCCACATACCAAGACAAGAACTAATCTAGCCACTGAGATATACTAGGAGCAACTGTTCTACCAGAAAATTGGCATGCATTGTCAAGATCCTTCATGTTTTTATCCCTGATGGGCTTCGAAAAACTGATTCAACTTAAATCCTGGAGGTGAGATACTGTGCCTGCACTCTGCAGGAGGGGGGTGAAGCTGTTGCAGTTCAAGGGTCATTTGAATTATTATGTCAGCATACTTCTTTCAAGACAGCTATTGAATGATGGATTTTTTTTTAGTCACCCTAGTGAGTGACAAAACCAAAAAAAAAGGGAAAGGGGGCCTGAGGGTCAGTGTTATTAAAAAATCTTTATTTGCACAATAACATGAATCAATACATAACTCACAGCAGTCAGAAAGTTTACTATTCCACGAAAAAAATAAGCAGTATGATCTTGACATGGAAAAAGTGGCATTGTTCTTTGCCTTGGATAGACAGGGAAATTATACTGTACAGTATATAATATACTAATACTTTGTTTTGTTTAGCTGTTTTTTACTACAGTACCCCTTCAATTTAAAAGACTAATAAGGAGGAGAGGGCATCTGGTAATGATGACTGCTCAACTCAAATAATGAGATTGTTTTGTTGTGATCATAACAATAACAGACAATTCTGTAACAGACTTTCTCTTTCCAAAATTACTTTACCCAGTACCATACAGAGTTCAAAATAAAGGAGTTAAAAGCAGAAACGAGTAATTTTATTTACCATCTGTGATGGATAGATGAGATTTGTTTGCCATGATCATATAATGGTGACTTAGAATAAATTTTATTCTGAGTCAGAGGAGCTGTGAAGCTCCACTGGCCTACTTGTAAATGGTTGAAAGACAGACAGCAACAGGTTTAAAGAATATATTCAGTTGTTTGCCACATTAATGTTACTTTAAAAGTGCAAAAGAGTGAATAATAGGAAAGAACACTTCTCCTCTGAGAGGTCACTGTACTCTATGAGAAGATCAATCACATCTCATAAACCTGACAATTTTAATAACTTCAGAATTTCCTCTTCTTTGTAACTATTATTTCTTTCTTAGCAACAAGAACCTTCTGCAATTTCTTCAGTAGTCAAGAAATGGTAACCAGGATCACAATCATTTTTCTAACCACAACATCACATCTTCCTCCAAAATGTTTATCTCCTGCCCTCTGAAGCTTATAATGGAAATCAATTGCCTCCAACCCTTCTCCTGGCCTCTGAAGTGTTCAACTGAAATCAATTGCCTCAATCCACACACTGTTAAAATCCATGTCAAAATCATATAACAACATGGTAATTTTTATTTCCTTCCATGATGCTGCAATCTGGCAGACTTTGGATTATAGTAAGTAATGTTCTGCAACATACATATATACAGTGGAACCTCTACTTGTGAGCGCATCCACGTGCGAGTTTTTCCAAATACGAGCAGTCGATGGGTCAGTTTTTTGCTTCCACACACGAGCAAAATTTCCTTAAGCAAGCAGACCTCCAGGCAGGTACTTTGATGCTGGTGAAGGACTCTTGCTCTTGATCTAGGGAACTGTATCTCATTTGTTTGTTGGACTATCTTATTGAAACTTGGGCAATGTATGATGGAAAGATGCTTCTTAACGTAATAATAATAATAATAATGATAATAATAATAATAATAATAATAATATGTATAATAATATAATACAATAATAAAAATATAATACAATAATAATAATAAAAATATAATACAATATGATACATATGATAGAGTGGATAGAGGAGCAATGTGGCAGATGTTGCAAGTACAGTGGACCCCCGCATAGCGACCTTAATCCGTGCAAGAGGGCTGGCTGTTATGCGAAATGTTCGCTATGTGAATGAATTTTCCCCATAAGAAATAATGGAAATCAAATTAATCCGTGCAAGACACCCAAAAGTTTGAAAAAAAAAATTTTACCACATGAAATATACATTTTCCTACACACAAAGAGAAGGATACATGCACAATAGTAGAGTAGTACATGCACAATATATATTGTGCATGTACTACTCTACTAAATGAAGAATAAATGACACTTACCTTTATTGAAGATGCAGCAATGACTGATGAGACACTGTGTCCTGGGAGTGCCTTTTCCTCCTGAGTACTGTAGGTCCTGTTTGGTATTTTCTTCCAGAACAGGCCTTATCACACTGTGTATGTCACTACGATTCTTAAATCTCTCAAACCAACCTTTGCTGGCTCTAAATTCACCAATATGAGCACTAGTTCCAGGCATTTTCCCTGTTCACCTGGGTGTTAGTCGACTGGTGTGGGTTGCATCCTGGGAGACAAGATTAAGGACCCCAATGGAAATAAGTTAGACAGTCTTCGATGACACTGACTTTTTTGGGCTATCCTGGGTGGCAAATCCTCTGGGTTAATTGTTTCTTGGTATTCTCAATAAGCCACACCAACAACGGTGCTACAGCAGCAGCAGCAGCAGCTGACGATGTTACAGCAGCAGCAGACGATGCTACAGCAGCAGCAGCAGCAGACGATGCTACAGCAGCAACAGACGATGCTACAGCAGCAGCAGACGATGCTACAGCAGCAACTGACGATGTTACAGCAGCAGCAGACGATGCTACAGCAGCAGCAGCAGCAGACGATGCTACAGCAGCAACAGACGATGCTACAGCAGCAGCAGACGATGCTACAGCAGCAACTGACGATGTTACAGCAGCAGCAGACGATGCTACAGCAGCAGCAGCAGCAGACGATGCTACAGCAGCAGCAGCAGCTGACGGTGGTACAGCAGCAACAGACGATGCTACAGCAGCAACAGACGATGCTACAGCAGCAGCAGACGATGCTACAGCAGCAGCAGATGATGCTACAGCAGCAGCAGACGGTACTACAGCAGCAGGAGCAGCTGACGGTGGTACAGCAGCAGCAGCTGACAGTGCAGCAGCAGCTGACGGTGATACAGCAGCAGCAGCAGCTGTAACCACCAATAGTAGCGATGGTTGATTGGGGTTTATTATACAACCTGGCCAGCTCGGAGACACGCACTCCACTTTCATACTTATCAATGATCTTTTTCTTCATCTCCATAGTAATTCTCACCCTTATTGCTGTAGGGTTGGCACTAGAAGCTTTCTTGGGGCCCATGGTCACTTATTTTCCAGAAAAAAATCACCAAAAACACTGTAATAATACAAAATGTTCCGATTGTATGCTTGGATGTTACCGCGGAGGCTGGCTGGTAAACAATGCCACCCGCGGAACATGTGAGCGTGGCTCAGGCCGCACATTGGACGCGTCTCGGACGAAGGCCACTGAGCGGGTTTTTGGGCGCTATGCGGGGCAAAATTTTAGCAATCAAAGCGTCCGCTATGCGGATTGTCCGCTATGCAAGGCGTCCGTTATGCGGGGGTCCACTGTATATGGAATAGGTGGTAAGTTACTAAATGCTGTAAAGAGCTTTTATGAGGATAGTGAGGCTCAGGTTAGGGTGTGTAGAAGAGAGGGAGAATACTTCCCGGTAAAAGTAGGTCTTAGACAGGGATGTGTAATGTCACCATGGTTGTTTAATATATTTATAGATGGGGTTGTAAAAGAAGTAAATGCTAGGGTGTTCGGGAGAGGGGTGGGATTAAATTATGGGGAATCAAATTCAAAATGGGAATTGACACAGTTACTTTTTGCTGATGATACTGTGCTTATGGGAGATTCTAAAATTGCAAAGGTTAGTGGATGAGTTTGAGAATGTGTGTAAAGGTAGAAAGTTGAAAGTGAACATAGAAAAGAGTAAGGTGATGAGGGTATCAAATGATTTAGATAAAGAAAAATTGGATATCAAATTGGGGAGGAGGAGTATGGAAGAAGTGAATGTTTTCAGATACTTGGGAGTTGACGTGTCGGCGGATGGATTTATGAAGGATGAGGTTAATCATAGAACTGATGAGGGAAAAAAGGTGAGTGGTGCGTTGAGGTATATGTGGAGTCAAAAAAACGTTATCTATGGAGACAAAGAAGGGAATGTATGAAAGTATAGTAGTACCAACACTCTTATATGGATGTGAAGCTTGGGTGGTAAATGCAGCAGCGAGGAGACGGTTGGAGGCAGTGGAGATGTCCTGTCTAAGGGCAATGTGTGGTGTAAATATTATGCAGAAAATTCGGAGTGTGGAAATTAGGAGAAGGTGTGGAGTTAATAAAAGCATTAGTCAGAGGGCAGAAGAGGGTTGTTGAGGTGGTTTGGTCATTTAGAGAGAATGGATCAAAGTAAATGACATGGAAAGCATATAAATCTATAGGGGAAGGAAAGAGGGGTAGGGGTCGTCCTCGAAAGGGTTGGAAAGAGGGGGTAAAGGAGGTTTTGTGGGGCGAGGCTTGGACTTCCAGCAAGCGTGCATGAGCGTGTTAGATAGGAGTGAATGGAGACGAATGATACTTGGGACCTGACGATCTGTTGGAGTGTGAGCAGGGTAATATTTAGTGAAGGGATTCAGGGAAACCGGTTATTTTCATATAGTCGGACTTGAGTCCTGGAAATGGGAAGTACAATGCCTGCACTTTAAAGGAGGGGTTTGGGATATTGGCAGTTTGGAGGGATATGTTGTGTATCTTTATATGTGTATGCTTCTAGACTGTTGTATTCTGAGCACCTCTGCAAAAGCAGTGATAATGTGTGAGTGTGGTGAAAGTGTTGAATGATGATGAAAGTATTTTCTTTTTGGGGATTTTCTTTCTTTTTTGGGTCACCCTGCCTCGGTGGGAGACGACCGACTTGTTGAAAAAAAAAAAAAAAAAA